GTTTAATACAAGATTATATAATCATTACACTAACTTGTAAGTCAGTTTTACCTCTAATGGGTCCTGATTAAAGTGAGCTGTCAGGATATAATACGAGTTTGGAAGCAATTGTTTGATGAGTGCTAAGATATTAGTCAACGTCGAGCGGTAGATTTTCTGCTGTCTGGTGGCTCAAAAATCCCTTTTTTATCAGTGATTCTAATCTATAAATAATCCGAATGCTTCCCATCTATTTAACCATTCTAGAGATTCTTCAATAACCTATTTTAAAAAGTTGTTTATTAAAACATTTATAGTTTTTCCTAGTGAATCATTACTATTATCTTGAGATCATTTGAATCGTGTCTGATTCCTTCCTGTGGCAATCTACGATTTAAACCATCAAAAAGAGCATTGATGTGACGTATGAAACTTATTGTAACATCCGCATTCTTTAGGATAGCAACCTCACGCTGTTTATAAAACAGCGTAGCATCAGCAAAAGTATTACTAAATATCTATAAATAAATGAGATAAATAAAAGTATTCTTATCAAATCAGATTATATAAGTAAAAAAAAGTGTTACTTGAGCTGCCAGCAATACACTCATTCTCTGGAAGTTATTGGGATTAACATGTATTTCTGTCACTTTGAGACATGCCTTTAATCCCTTTGGTAATTTGGAATCTTCATCAACAACTGCTTTAAAATGCTGCAGTCCTACCCTTCCTTCGGGAAACTAAAAGATCACCTATAGATCATCTTTTGCTTTCTGCGCCGATATAAATCCTCTTTGACTTCTTAAAAGTAAAAATGCAGAATAATGCAATGGCTGATATTATAAATTAGGTGAAAACACTTTGTTTTCTTAGTTTTACCCGAAAGTATCTACTTTTCAAAAGATTGTTTCGCATACATTTTAAAATATGTGGTACATCAATAATAGCCAGCGCTTGTCTATCTGAAGCAGGGTTTGTAAATGAGCATTGTATATTATTTGTGTCTGCACAAATTCCTAGAGCTTTTAAAGCCGCTTTGTTTGTGCTGGCACCATCACAAACTATTTCATTGACTATCGCACCACACTGTTCTAAATGAATAATTGCTTGCAAAATAAGTTTTGCAACAGTAGAACCTGGGACAGAGCTTTTTGAACAGAATGTGCCAATACATTGTACCCAACTAGCAAAGTGAGGTCCGAACATAAACACTTGGCCACGATCACCCGCTGTAAATTCACTCTGTGGCAATACATTTTGTCTTTAAAATAACAAGAAGATCTTCATCAAATCCAAATTTGTCATTAATGTCTCTGATATATTGATGCAGTGTAGACTGACAGGGTAAAGGCGAGTAATCATTATTTCTCAAAAATTCATAGACAGGTGGTGACCTAATTTTTAAAAGTAAACAGTCAAGTAACCAATTAATGTCATATCTCATACCCTTTTTGCTTTTTATATGGCACGCTTTCAGCACGCGCTCTATTACAAGTTTCCGTCTCGGTGGTAAGAATCAAGTTTATCAGCCGACAACTGTTTTATTTTAAGTTCAGTATTTTCTTGATGAAGCTTGAGATATTCTGTTTGAAGAGTTTCTTCCTATAGATCATCTTTTGCTTTCTGCACCGATATAAATCCTCTTTGACTTTTAACAATTCAGACTGCAAAGCAGAGATTTTATTGACATATAACAACTCAGGATGCCGCGTAGTTGCTGCTTCAGATGCGGAGGGTTCTTCTATTTCCTTTTCTACAGTTGTTACTCGGGAGTGCGTATCACGCAAATCTAATGATTGATAAAAAAAATATCAGATAATTAATCTTAAAGTATTTATAAGGAAAGATGGGCCACAGAGATAGCACTCAGTGAATCACAGTGGATCTCACAAACCCAGCTCAATCTTTAGTTAACATTTTTCAAATATAAAATGTTCCTTAAATATAGATAAAATTTAATTTTATATTAAAACACAGGGTCCGAGAGACGCACTGCAAAAAATTACACGACTCACTGAGGATTAAGATTACATAAATATTTATATTTACCTTTGGTATTGTCTTTTCGTGATCCCTTCCTAGATGGTTCTTCATTTCTTGCGAGACATCGCGTTGATCGTTTTTGAGGTACAGACTTACTAATGTACTTAGGACAATTAGGGAAGTTTGACGGATACGCATCCGACGTTAATGCCCAGCGATCTCGTGGAATTTCTACTTTCTCTCCATTTATAACACGGGAGTAGGTTTTTAAAATAAATCTACTGGCAAAACGTACGTCACAAACGTAACATTTACTTGTTAGCATCTTGTGGTCTCGTGGAATGCATCGCATCCACTCCTCAATCTTATCGCTAGGAGCACGGAAGAAATGTCTCTTCTCGTTCGATGACTTATATCCTGCCTTGCATCCTGGCACAAAGCACGTTGGCATTTTTATG